CTCCGCAGTGGGGGCAGTCCGACCCCCCAAGCGCCGCCTCTGCGTGGGTGCGACCCAGGCAAAAGACGCACGATTCGTGGCCATCGGAGAGTTCGATTGGCTCTGGGCAGGAGAGGCAATCGCGAGAGGTCATCCTTGTCCGAAGCTCACCGGAACACAGCAGGGGAGAGAAGGCGTGTCCGCTGCAGCGTGTAGATCACGGTGAGTACTCTTGATGATAGACTTCTTGCTTCTAGTAGAAGGTTGGCTGAAGAAAAAGATTCTGAATAGATGACGTACAAGCGCTGCTTTATAGAGTGGGAGCCCCTCATATTTTGCGCTCTTGAACGCCATTGGCCAGTTTCACTGGCGTGATTCAATAAGGCTTCAGTAGTATTTGGAGAAAAGGGTATTTCCCATAGCAATGTAGAGTGACCGAATCGAAAGGGAACGACCGTTTACTGACAAATAAAATGGATGACGCATTCACTTTTTCTTTTGGACACGACAGAAGATTGCTCCGCCGCCATGATGCATTTCTATAGCAACATCTAAAGAAAGACTTGTGTGAGTAAAAACATGCAGAAAATGTCGGCGATGAACAGAAAATGAATTCAAAACCTCGCCGAAACGTTATGCAAACAAGTCAAACATTGTAGGAATCTATCATTTTTTTTCTTCTAACATGTCAGTTGATATTCTTGTAAAACGTTTGCTATCAGATCTTAGTTCATTACCATGTCCTACATTAGAAAAGTCAGAAGAAAATGCCTTGTTCACTGCCTGTTTAGCCATTTGATAATACTGTGCTCATGCTGTAGTTGATAAAACAGAGACGGAGTGTCTAATAAGGCTGTTCAACGGTCTGCTGGGAGAGCAAGCAGAGAAGAGCGGCTCATGGACTGGACCGGGTTAGGTTTAGAAATATACTGCACAACACATTCTGCATGACCGACGATATGTTGATGGACAGCGGTACGTTTCCGATTTGGATGAAGACAATTATAAAGCTAATAGTCTGGTCTGAGTGTTTAACTGTAGAGACCAATAATATAATCGACACTAAATGGACAGTAGTAACATGTTAAGTGTGTTTAATACATATACACAAGTATATACACATACTTAAATATATCTTAAGTTTGAAGTTATGAGGAAATTAGTAAACGACAATAATATTTGAGATGTTTCTTAATCATCAAATAATATTAATATAAACTGATTTTATTTTTTTTAACAGTATTTCGTGCCTTTGACAAGGACAATGACACCTACATAAGCGTCAAGTGGAAGGTCAAGTGGGTGGAAGGTCTGTCGGTCTTTTTGCGAGGCACACTGGATGAGAAAATAAAATGTAAGTTGTATAAAATGTAAGTTGTTTAAAATTTCACTTTAAAGTGGTGATCATGAAATGTTATGTACACAATGTTTCATTTATATTTTTATTAGTCTGTTTTGACGTATACAACCTGCATGGGGACGGATACATCTCACGGGAGGAGATGTTACAAATGCTGAAAGACAGCCTCATCAGACAACCCACTGAAGAGGATCCTGATGAGGGGATTAAGGACATTGTGGAGATTGCCTTGAAGAAAATGGTACTATTATGTCATAAAGCTTACATGTAACATTTTACCATTGTTTACCAAATACACCAATCTTTTTTTCAGGATTATGACCATGATGGGAAAATTTCTTCAGTCAAAGATGAAAACCTTTTACTAGAAGCTTTTGGCAACTGCCTCCCAGATGCAAAGGTAGAAATCACAAGCAACTATTTGTGCATGTAAAATTTATTGTAATTTTAAAGGACAGGCTCTTAAATTGTTCTTTTTATTTGTTTGGCTGAGCATACTGGCATTCGAGCAACATGCGTTCCAGGAACCACACGGACATTGAAAAGAACCACTCAATTTTTTATGGAAAAAAAATTAGAGAAAAGATAGTTAAACAATATTTGTGGCTGAAACTGAAATAAATATCTAAAATATTGCTCAATGTGAGACCATGATTGTCTTATTAAATTCTTCTGCGTGGCTTTGCTGTAGGGGTCTTCACTTGTGCAGGTTTGATCTCTGGAACAGATGTAACCTAAAAAAAGAAAAAATATATATTGTAACAACAATGCAAATACCATCATGAAAAATTACATAATGTACATAACATTTTATTTTAGTATAATTTAGATATGAGTTTTTATTACTATTTGGAATCAGTTTTTTATTTTTATATTTCCATTTTAATTTCAGTTAAAATTCTAGAAATGTTGTAATGTTATTGTAATTTTCAGTTTTTGTATATGTCTGTGTGTGTGTGTGTATATATATATAATATATAATATATAAAGTAGTCAACATTTGAAGTGGATCAAAACCTTTCATCAAAGTCGTCCTAAAACCTAAAAGTGTTCTTGTCTTAGGACAACTATGATTAACTTTTTTGATCCACTTCAAATGTTGACTACTGTATATATTTATACACACACACACACACACACACACACATATACATATATTTTGATTATTTGTATTTCAGTTTTAGTTTGAGTTATTTTAGTACAATAAATTAACCTAAATTAAAATGAGAATTGTTGCCTTGGCAACTAGCTGAAATAAGTTTTTTTATATATATTTTATTTCAGTTAATATTTCATTTCAAGTAACAAAAACATTTTTTAATGTTTTTCATTTTAATTTCAGTTTTCGTTAACTATAATTACTGGTACACAATGTACTTATGTAAATTACATAATATTTACAGCAGGAATGAGAGACAAACTAACCTTGCTCATTGTTTGACGGATCAAATTGGCGGTTACATTTAATGAATGATCCTCCATGTCTACCTTGGGCCCCTCTGGTAATTTAGGACCAATCAGAGTCTCAGTTTCAGCTGCTTCATTCAAAAAGAACGCTTGTCCCTCCAACTTTCTTTTTCTACTTTCTAAATGTGTAGTCCTTGGCATAAATCTAACAGATGGTGACAGGTTCTTCTGCCTTTCAATCAAATCTCTCTCTTTTTTATAAGATGCAGAGGATGCACACTGCTTTGAAGTTTCTGTGACGGGAGGGATGGCATTATGTAGAGAGCCCATCTTATCCTCTCTAGTTAATGTATCAGTGGTCCACTGCAACTGTAATGGCTGTGCAAAACCGTGAAGTCTATAAGAAACATCCTCCGCTGGTAGCAATGGCAGCACAGGAAAGCCCATGTTGTCAGAGTTCACATTCTCCATTCTGGCCTTTTCAGAGCCTTTCTGGATCTCAGGTGCTGCAGCTGTTTGTGTGTCCGTGCTTGATGACTCAGTGCTTTCTTCTAATTGCCGATCGTGTTGTTTTGCTAAAAAATAAAAAAATCACATAAGTTATATAGATTTTCCAACAGATGTAACCTATTGGGAGACAATTACAATACCTGTATTATACAATTCTAAATACAATACCTGTATTTTGGCTTGCTCTGTTAACATATCTTCTCCTGTCCTGTAACTTTTGTCTCGTCTCTTCCACAGTTTCATACTCAGGGGCATAGCAGACGTGCAACTGACCCCCAAAGAAGCTCTTTTCATCAGTGTGCCGTTTAGCTACCCTGAAAATTTCCACATTGTAACATACGCATGTCATTTCATGAGAAAAGAGCCTTTGGAGTCCCTCATGAACATATAGGTATAAAAAATAACTTAATAAAAATCTGTTTTATTACAGACATTAAAAAGTTCAATAAATCATCACATTTTTAATAGAATTTTTAGATTTAAGTTAATCATATTTAGATAAATATTAGCATTAAATTCTTTATAATATTCAGCTTGCAGTGTCATTACCTTGAGAAAAGGTTAAAAGATTAAATTACACATAAAAAAAAAACTCTGCATTTCTCCTTTTATAGCTTGTTGCCAAAAAAAGCCTCACATTGTATATTATGAATATTGTTGGCTCCTTGACAAATTGTTTTTGAATTGCTTTTAGAAGTTGCTTTGAATACAAAGTCTGCTGAAAGCGTAAATGTAAAATACTTTTATTTAGAAAGGACACTTAACATTTACAATATTACAAACAAATTCTATTTTTACTTTCTGTTCATCTAAAAACTCTGAAAATGTGTAAGTTTTCACAAAAATATTAAGCAGAACAAGTGTTTACACCATATTAATAAGAAACGTAACTGCAAATCAGCATATTGAAATGATTTCTGAAGGATCATGTGACAATGAAAACTGGAGTAATGGCTGCTGAAAATTCAGCTTTGCCATCACAGGAATAAATTATATTTAGAAATATATTAAAATAGAAAATAGTTTTATTTTAAAGTATAATAAAGTCACAATTTTACAGTTTAATTGTATATATATATATATATATTTTTTTTTTGATGAAATAAATGCAGCCTTGCCTTGATGAGCATAAGAGACATTTAAAAATATCCAGTGTGGCACGTTCACTTTAAACATGTTTTAGTCTGTCTTTACCTTGCACTCGTCAGTTTCTGGAATTGAAACAAGTAGACTTCAGTGAACTGCTCTGCTGGGTATTCATCCAGCGCCCTGTACTCCTCGATCACTCCATAGAGAGCAAAGAGCTGCACCAGCTCTGGCATCACTCCAATAGCGGGCACTCCTTGAACTAACAGGAACCGAGACTCCAAGTTGATGGTATATACCTGAAATCAGTGATACAGTCAAAAGTATTATTTGCAGTGGCTGTAGCTCAAAACCTAGTGAGGTGACTACATCTTTGTGCATACTGATACGACAAGCTAAAATACGGAGCTCACATAAACTAAAACAATTTATAAAATAAACCCACCTTAACAGCTTTGAGGCGCCTTCCCTCTCTGTATTTTGGGCGTGTTTGGGCAACATTTCGTTGCTCGTGGTGTTTATACACTTTTTGTGTGTCCCACACAGAAGGATTAGCGACCGAACTGTCCATTTGTGTGGTGAAGTCAGCGACCAAGGTAAACGATTCATCAGGTTTCAAAATAAAAGTCTCAGTTTTTAAACGATCATCCTATGTTATCGTAGTGATTTGCAATTGCATAGTTAATTTGACATATTAATTCATAATTAAACATGGTATGCACCAATTAAATTAATGCAATTTACTGAGCATTTAATAAAGGTCATTACAATGTCATATTTAAATGTAATTTAAAACGTATTCACTCCCGTGTTCTTTATCAAGTAATTTTTCAGCGGATTAACTTGCACCGATTAATTGTTCACATCAAGACTAACAATGTGCGCGAATAAAGTAAATAAAGTTCATTTTGATTTCATGCTTACTTTAACCCTGTGGCATTGTTCAAGACACACTTGTGTTGTTTGCTGTCATTGGAAATGAATGGGAAATACAAAGAGCAATTGCCAAATGAACAATACCTAAGCGTTAATTTAATACATATTCCCCCGATTTTACAGAGAAGGCTTAAGCCTAGTCCCACACTAAAACGCATGTCTGAGCTGTTTTAACTGAAAGAAACTTGTACTCGCATTTCTAAATATGTCAGTGTGGCATTGATTTGTCTCAAGATGTACACCAGTAATGTTTTTTTTGTTTGTTTGTTTCTAATGCACGTGTATAAAAGCTACTTAAATGTCCTAATTGAACTATGACACATAATCCTGGTTTAATTTAAAATCGCCATGAAACGGAAGTTGCGATTGTCTTTTCTTCTCTGCTGTGACGTATATCCGAGTGAAACGGCATCGGAAATGAGAGGGCGGGACTTGATTTCGTCCTTGGAAGTTGGGGCGTTGCTAACAAAATGGAGGCAGATCTGAATGCCAGTTTGCAGTTAGTGGTGGGGGATTTCTCTCCACTGGATTCACAGCCGACACCCAAGCATGAATAAATGTTTTATTTATTAAGGATGATGACTACGATCAACGGCACAAAACATGCCTAAACAGCGCGAGAGAGAGAGAGAGAGAGAGCGAGAGAGCGCGCGCGTCCTCCATCAGGTTAAGTCATATTCATGAAAAAAGTTAGTTTGCAATGTTCTAAGAGTAATGTTGTCGTAATATCTTTTCAATGTTTAGGGGTAACATACTCCCTCATGACTGGTGTCAGCGCTATAAAGTGAAGCATCAGTTTCAGCTTTTCCCCCTGTTGTTTATCCCAGCGTTTACCCCTCACGTCACTAGCTCCGCCCTTGCGCCGTAGCTCGTGACCGGAAGAGAAGATGAGTCGTTTTGAGGGGGAGGGGAGGTTAACATTTTTGATTAAAGGTTAGGAGGGCACATAAATAAAAAAAAAAACAATGTAGTGCAGGGATAAATTATTTTAAACCTAAACATAAGATGATTCCAAAAAGGACCATCAAGTTCCTCTTTTCATTAACTTCTCATAATTTGATGATACAAGCATTGAGAAGCATCCTTTCTGAATCAAAGACTGAGAAAAATGTCTGAGGACGTTGTATACTCTGAGGTCGTATTTGTGAAAAGAAAAAGTCGACAAGGATGATTCAGATGAGTGTCATTTAGGTGAGTTTTCAGTAAGAGGTGTTTAACTCGCATAACTGCACTTTTGCAAATGTACTGTTGCAAGCGAAGAGTATGAATACAGTCTGATGAACAAGCAAATGTTTGCAGTAAAACAGATTTTGAGTTTTGAGGTTCTAATTATGTTGTATGATTTAGGTAAATGCGGTATCATGTTAGCATGTTAAATGTTTATGTTCAAGATAAATTAAAGTGAAATATGGCATTTTTTTCTGCAAAATGTAGGGTTAAATATATAAAATTTAGGGTTACATTTAGGGTACATATTACAACCTAATATGCACCATTTAGGGGTAAAGAAGGTACAAAGAGGGTACTTCTCCAGTGACAAGTTGTTATATATTCAAAAGACATGTCAGAATAACACGGTGTGTTTGCATGTGAATAAGCATGATCTTTTGGATAAGATTGAGGTTACAGTAGATGACAAATAGGGAAGTTGGGTCCAAGAGTCATGTTTTTTGTTTTATAGCCAAACTTAACCATGGGCATTGGGCAAGACTGGGTGGTTGCAAGGGGTGAAAGAACTTTTCCTGTTTTCTGTTTAATAACAAAGACCATATTGCAAACTCTTAGTGACCTTCCTATTGGGAAATTCATGGCAGGATGTTGTGATTGTTCTTATGAAATCATGGTAACATCAGCACATTACTAAAAGGGTACTGCCCACATGCAGTGTTGAGTGTAATGCATTACAAAACATTTAATTACTCTTCTCTTGAAAAAGTAAAGTAAGGGATTACCCTTATTTTTGTAATTACAGTTCTGATGTAATTGCATTAAATACTGTATAGACTACAGAACAACTCTATATAAAACAATAGTGTATTTAACTATCTAATGCTAAAATTTGTTTTTTAGGTAACACTCTCCCTTTACACAGTTAAAGAATAATTTATGCAATTATATATTTTTTATTTGAAAGAATTACAAAAGCAGTTTCATGTCTATCCTTGTACTGTTGAACTAGTCGAGGTCGATATGGGATTTAGAAAGTAATCAGTAATGCAAAACTTTTTAGAGAAAGTAATTAGTAACCTAATTACACGGTTGAAGATGCAATTAGTAGCCTAGCTAGTAACTTTGCTCATCTTGTGCTTGTTCATACTATTTAATCTGTATATATGATTGATTAAAACAATAAATATGTTGTGATTTAGCATATTAAAACACTCTATCCTATCAATTCTTGTAGGTGATTCGTCTCAAGCTCCTCTGTATTCTCCGTATTCTCCTCATGGCTGTGCTGATCATGCTCAGCTTCCAGTGTACGCATGTGCTCTTTTTCCACACTTGATCTTTATCCTATCCAAAGTACTTTTTTAGATCTATATATTTTATGAATTCATCTTGGATCGGAGTTTAATGACTAATATTATGGGTCATATATTTCAATACACAATATAAACACATCTAATCATAACCTACTTTAGATGTATATACAGAGAAAAAGCTTGAAGATCTTCAACAGGTCCACAATGCGCTAAATGAGAATTGAACAGGTAAGGACTCTTAAACTAAACAGTTCAAAACAATAGATGAAATCATGCATTATGAATGTGCTCATTTTCAAACAGCATTTTTAGCAGCGCTTCAACACATGCATCATTGGACACAAAATCTGTCCAAAGCTCTAAACGACAGTGGTAAGTGGTTATTATACACAATTTTCGTCCCCATTAAAAATGATAGCTCATCTAAAATGCAATAAACTTTTAGCGTGTCCAAAGAACTGGGAGTATCATGCAGGAAAACGTTACCTTTTCTCCACAAACTAACTGAACTGGACTGATAGTCGAGATGCCTGTATCTCAGATGACGGTCATCTGGTGATTATAAACAGCAGAGACGAACAGGTTTGTCCATGTACATACAAAAAAAACGACTGTTTGAAATGAATATGAAATATTGCAGTGTAAATAACAAGCCTACGCTTTGTCCTGTAAGGAGTTCCTGATAGGCATTATAAAAACCGAAGAGTCCTTCTGGATCGGCCTCACAGATGAGAAGATAGAGGATCAATGGCTATGGGTAGACAACAGAAATCTTTGTAAAGATAAAAGGTATTTCTTCATTTACAGTTCTTTAAATTCTAAACCCTAAATATTATACCCTTTTGACAAATTTTGAGATAATGCTCTCAATGAAACAAATCATTTCTTTCAGTTATTGGACTAGAAAGGAACCAGATAACTGGAAAGGATATGGGGGAGAGTACCCCAGCGGAGAGGACTGTGCTCACATACATAAAAACTCCATCCAGGATCTTAAGAGCTGGTTTGATGCAGTCTGCAATAAAGCACTCAGAAGAATATGTGAGACCAGATCCTCCAGACAAACATAGTGACCATGTTAAGTAATGTGTGTCATCAGAAGCAGATTATTTGGAAACAGAAATGTGGCTTAAGACAAGGGAACATGATCATCAGTCCTGTATATTTACTTTATGGCCTAGCATCAGTGTCGCATAAGTTAATAAGCCCGCATAAGCCCCTGTTGCTTTTCCCTCTGGATGGGGGTCTGTGGAGCCTCAAAGAACGTTGGTAATAAGATGTGATTGGAAAGGACTGAATAGACAGTTTTGCTGTCGCTTCTGCTAGTAAGCTTTGAGGCCATGAGTTCAGCGATGTAACTGATTTGAATCTCCGCTCTAAATTGACCATAAATGACAAGTGGATCCTGTTGCAAAATAATTTTTAAAAATCCTTCAGGCCTTCTCTTGGGCTGATAGGTATTACTTACTATGTGAGTGCCTGGATGTGGATTTTTTTTTGTATTTTGCAACAGGATCAATTATCATTTTTGACATTTTGTTCCCTCTCTGGAGCACCCATAGTTTTGCCTGCGAGTCCCTGATTCGCCCCTGGTCAAGATTATTTCATTGATTATTATCCAATTTGATTTTGAAAAGAGATTTCACTGCTTTTATTCAATTTTTTTTGTCCAATCTTCACCAAAGTTGGCTGAAAAAGATCCTGTGGCTAAACCATGCAAAAGTTATCATATTTAAAACGTAACAAACCACTTCTTTTCAATCAGATGTTTGTCAAAGACTTGAAAATATTTGTAATGCTCCAAACCATTTTTCTCTTAACTAAAGAATGATGTAGTGTTTTTGTAAAAAAAAAAAAAAAGTAAAGTTTTTTTAATTATTTGTGAAACGCACTAGCAATTTTAAGTGAAAACTGTTTCAAAGCAAATCCTACACCAATTGTTTTCAGTGTGGATATATTTGCTGCAGCATAAAATCTAATTTGCCTGCCATGCAGAAAATTAATTTGCAACAAACTGTAAAAAAATGCTCATTTCTTTTCTCATGTCATCTCTCGATCACAGGCAGCTTTATCTTTTCAGTCTTTTCTAAATATATGAACACTGTTATAAGTAAATTAAATTATTTCTAAAATCACCACCAGGGTGACATGACAAACAAAAAGAGTGTGGGTTTAGGCATCAAGTGTTTCTGTGCAAGTAAAA